AATCATTATGACTATCCCCAATTCTGTTCGCAACAACAAAGCAAGAACTATAGAAACAGTGCCCACTAGGTTATGTTGTCTGCGTAAAAAATAAGAAAACTCAAATACCAACTGTACCGAAAATGAAGTCGGCAATATTAAGAGGTGAGACATTGCAGAATCGAATCATTGAAGAATCGCGCAGAAGAGAGGCATTAAGCATCAAGCAATCAATCTGATCAAGATGGGTATTAAAATGAAGCGCACTGTATTATATATGAAAGTGTAGTTATAAGCCATGTGAAACAGCTAACGCGCGAAGAAACTCTAGTTGAGATCGACACTTTCAAGAATGTCTGGTGGCAAAGTTTTTCCACTCTCTCCTGGTGCGGGGAAAAAAGCGGGGGGTACCTGCATATAGGGGCTCAGTCACTGTTTCAGAATTGGAGGCACGCGTATCGTGGTGCAAAATTGGTTCGATATTATTAGTTTTTTGTATTGCAAGCTTATTATTATATATCAGATAGAACAGCTTCGTCATTTCGCGATAGCGTCTCCGTTCCAGGGTTTCTATAGTTTAGTGCTTTCCAGAAGAACTGATGGAGATATGTTACTTTTAGGCATAGAATATGCATTTTACAGCTATTCGCTGCATTGATTCAAGTTTATCTGTGTTAGCTTGCGTTTGAGGGTCCCAGAGAGCCGATAAATGTTCTAGTACTCGTATCAAACTATGTTTCACATGAAGTCATTTAGGTTCGCCGGATGCCTTAGCGAGTGCCCGTCTTAGGTAGCCTAGTATTTTCAAAGCCTTTTTCTCAGTATAAGACACATGTTCGTTCCATTTTAAATCAGATATGATGACAAGACCAAGGTGCGTATACTGCAAGAAAGAGGACAAGAATTGATTGCCTAGTTTGTATTAAAATTTTAACGAATCTTTTTTGCGGGTTGTGGTTATCACCAGTTTTTCTCCCGTTGAAGGGCATCTGTCATTTATCGCACCAATCTCGAATCTTAGATAAAGAGTTACTTAAAAGAACCTGGTTGCTGGAAGCGTTAACTACTTTAAAGCACGCAGGCACCTGCTAAATCTTTAGATTTGCTAGAATATCACGGGTGGCATTATTGATATAAACAGAAAAGAGGCCCGAGGACATATCCTTGAGGTATGCCGGACTTAGGCGGCACGAAGGGGGAGTTGATACCACCGTCAGCAATATCGGGCCCGGTGAATATTACTCGCAATTTCGAAGCCTGACCTGAAATGCGTTCGTAATTTAGCACTAATTAAATAATTAATAAATACCAATAACCATCATGTAACCTGTAAAACTCGACAATGTGCTGTAAATTGAGGGTTTTGTGCGGTCCATACGTTGAATGTTCGGAAACGTGCGCTTTGTCCTTTTTAACCACACCCTATTGATGTGCTATACTATCGATCTCTACCTCAACGAACCCTACATTTTGTTTCGTGGCGTCATAAAAATGCCTTTCATAGGAACCTTCTCTTTTCACGCGTAACCTATTTCAATTTTTACGTGCCCCGCCGTGGGGGTCAAGTGGCTAAGGTACTCGGCTGCTGACCCGCAGGTTGCGGGATCGAATCTCGGCGGTGGCGGCTGCATTTCTGATGGAGGTGGAAATGTTGTAGGCTCGTGTACTCAGATTTGGGTGCACGTTAAAGAACCCCAGGCGGTCGAAATTTTCGGAGCCCTCCACTACGGCATTTCTTATAACCATATAGTGGTTTTGGGACGTTAAACTCCACATATCAATCAATCAATCAATTTTTACGTGACACCGTAAAGTACACCATCTCAACGCTAGATAAAACTACGAGGACTTCAAGGCTGTCGCATGCATCCTGAACAAAACAGGCCAGGAAACTTTTTTTTTTACCACGCGATTCAAACATGCTCTACATCATCATAAACCAAACACCTGCCAGTACCTTAATCCAGAAAGCAATAAGATATCTTCGAGCGCGTCTCCACGGTAGCGAGTCAAATGCGGTAAAACAGGTGATATTTCCGAGAGCACCCATATGCAGTGTGCATTATATTTAATAAGCTGGGTAACTCTCGCTATTGCAAATACGATACTGCAACTCCGGCAGAAGAAAGGTTCATGCAGTTGCTACTTTAAACCATGAAAGCAATGAGAAAATCAGAAAGGGAGAGGAGTTATTATCGTTTCGCTTTCTGGTCCCATAGAATGACGTGGGGCCCCGCCCAAACCATGCGGGAAAGTGCGCCTCCTACTCGTTAGCCGTAATCCTGGGGACGTTCCACACAGTATTATTATTATTATTATTATTATTATTATTATTATTATTATTATTATTATTATTATTATTATTATTATTACCTTACATCGCTGGAAAACACGCATTGATAGTTTAATTCGAAATATTTTAAAAAGTATATATTACGGTAGTAAGATAGATGCCAGTACTATTTTTTGGGATTTCGGCTTTTGTGTATTCCAGGATTTGTTTATTAAGACAGTTTTTCTAAGATACAGTTGGTGAATTGACTTTCAACTGCCACTTGTAACGCGTCAACCCCATAAAAACAGTTTTATAGTACCCTGGTTCTCTACCAGATATGGAGAAGGATGTAGAAGTATATATATTCCAAAACTGTTCAATGCACTACCAGACGACTTTTTTTCAGTGAGTTCTAAAAAGCCATTGAAAAAATTACTTGCTGAGCTGTAAAATCACATGGTCTATTTGTATGCCACGTATATCTGTGCCCCTCCTTTGTTCCTCTTTTTATTTACTGCCTGTAAAAAAAGTAATGGTGTCAATCGTTTGTCTGTTCGTTGGTAAAGGAACAACAATAGTTTTGTTACCTTGTATCCACATCGCTGTAACCGGCTCTGCCGGGCCTAGTCGCATGAGTCCTGGGGACTTAGACAGGCCCGTTTCTTTGTTTCCTTATGGATGTCTACAATAAAGTATTATTATTATTATTATTATTATTATTATTAAATGCGAAGCATTTCTTACTTAGCCACAACGACTTTGACCGTATCTATCTATCTATCTATCTATCTATCTATCTATCTATCTATCTATCTATCTATCTATCTATCTATCTATCTAGCTACTTACATTTGGGTGCTCTCGTGGTCACACCTTGAACTTGGCGTGAACCAAAATTATCAAGGAAGGGTAAGATGGCTTGACGAATACAACGCGCTGGTCAAGACTTGAATAATTCCACAATCCTGTCGCGTAAGTCATCAAACACTTCTCGCCAGACAGTGGCACATATCCACGGGCAGGTACGCGCCGTGGGTATGCGGGTATGTGCCACAAGTGATTGACACGTATTATATACTTAAGAATGACGAGAACAAACATGGGCAGTTATAACGCGTGGGCGTTAAGAGATACCTGACACCGGTAGCGTTGACCCGACGAATGCAAGCAATAAATGTCCGGGTCCCAGCTGGAAACGAACCCAAGCGTTCTGCGTGGCAATGAAACAAACATTTTGCCACAGAGCAACGCCGGCCCACGGAATTACTTCTCAAGTAAACGCTAATCTTCGTGAAACGTCAATAGTGGTTGCAGTGCTGCCTACCCAATTTTATAAACAATACATAAGTACTCCTTTGATACAGCCGTCACGTCGGGTATACGTCAATTGTTGTTAGTTGGAATGCGCTGAAAATGATTTATGTAGCAGCGTCTAGGGCCACTATCCTCGCGAGCATCAGCGCTTCATATCAGCTTCTGTTGTTGCTAAGACGCATGTTCACGTTGGCATCGTTGCGCAAGTGCAAACGACTGGTTATATAAATATCTGCAACTCTTCCACATATGTCTGCGCGTGCAACATCTGTACATATATTTAGCGTCATTACAGGACGTGTCGCTCACTAAAAAATTGCAACCCGGTCACTTTTTCTCCGCGTGCTTCGCATAACGTCGATTCCGAGGTACGTGGGATCTACCAATTCATTATTATTATTATTATTATTATTATTATTATTATTATTATTATTATTGATTGTGGTTTTGTTGCTGCTACTATTACTATTTCTTGCCACCTTTATAGGGATGCGTTTCTTAGCCAAAGATCCTACGGGTCATATACCGCTCCATGCATTTTGGGAAAGATGCGCCAAACATCCCAAAAAGCCTCTAAGGCATTAACTATCATGCACAAGCCAAATAAGCTTAAATAAACATTACTAAAAATGTGTCAATAATGATGCAACGCATTAACAAGGCTTTAACGACGCCTTTATGCACTCGCCTAAGTGAATCGGAAGGTGAAAGCCATCTTTTTGTCCTTCTTAGTCGATGCCTTTATCCTGCCTCGCCACCTTCCGCAAGCTTTCTGCAACTATCGAGGTTTTGCACTGCCTCCTGGAATAGAGGACATCACCTAGACCTGCACAGCCTTCGTGATCGGCGCACTTAACCAACATACAACCTGGGTGACGTCACAATGTGATGTAGCGTCACGGTGACGTCAGAATGACGTTGCCAACTTTACTGTTATGTCACGTCATTATGAAGTCATATGTGAAGTCGTCACGTCCTCATGACTTTTTAATCTCTCTAGTTGGCATCATTGATAGTGGTTGCCAATGCGAGGCACAGGCCAAATTTGTGTTTCATGAGGCATTTAGGATTTCTGCCTTGACAACGGCGTCCAATTTTTGATCCCATATTCACATTTCATTTCCCTGTCGCATTACGACGCAATTTTCTCTAGCAGCGTATTTTTGCCCAGTGCAGCGTAAATAATGGGCACAGAGCATGTGCCCGTTCCATCAGCTCTGCAGAAGCGGCATGGTAAGGCTTGAGTTAGGTGATGGGCTCACCCCGTACATTCATGCAACTTTTTTTAATAACTTGGTAACAGGGACATATATTTTGTTGCTATCTAGGGCACATATGCAGCTGTAATACTAATATTACTTCTGGCAACCTTTCCATAGGGTACTATTTGAGATGCTCCTTTAGTAATAAGAGCTGTACCTTCATTTTTCAGATCAATACAAAGATCAATACAAGAAGCTTCCACAAATGTGTAAGCAACACCCAGAAAGTGGACGCTGTAAGGCCTTTATACCAATGTGGTATTTTGACCCTCATCATACATGGTGTAAGATATTCATATATGGAGGCTGTGGTGGTAACGAGAACAAATTTGAAACAGAAAAGGAATGCATGAAACAATGCGCACGTGAGTAATGCTTAAACAACTCAATTTTTATTCATAATTAGTTCATTGGCAAAAGAAGTGAGTTTGGAATATGAATAATATAGCGCGAGCTCTGGATTTACACAGTATACATATCATCTCGAGGGAACAATGGCCAATATTGCCGTGTTTAGAAAACCGTTATTTGAGAAGCACATCTGCTGACTGAAGATTCAAAATCATTGTAATTCTTGTGTGGGTGAATCTGAAAATGAGTTAGTAGTGAAGACGTATTATTAGGCTCGTTGATTCATAACTACAGGGAAATTGCCCCAGAAAAGACAAAGGACCAGGTGACGAGAAGTGGCATGCACAAAGCACGCTCCTGTTTTTGTTCTTTAAATAACTATGGTGCACACCCACTCTGGGGCACAAGAAAAGAAATGAGTGGGTTTATAAAATAGTATGAAGTATTAGAATAATGGAGATTTTATGATAGAAACAGTCTCAAGTACTACGTTTCGTCCTCCTTCATCTTCTTGCTGGTATTGTCGGGCATTGTTTAGCTGAATGCTGCTGACGCACCGAAGGTTCACAAAGGCAGGTCACACGTTCTACTTTCGCCTGTGTGAATTCTAGGCTTCACTTTCTTGCCAGAGAATGAACAAAATTTTTACGCGAGTGATTTTTAGCACCAGCTGAGGGTAGACATAGTTCAAGTTAGCTCGCTCACCAATTTAGCTTCCATTGTAATTACTTTGAACACAGACATTAAACACAATTGCCTTAAACGTGAATTTTTATCCTGGAATGTCAAAGTAAGCCAACACGCCATTGTTACTCTCCGCCGCAAAGTTTATGCTCATAATCATGGGTCATCAAAAAGTTAGGAGCTCCCACAGAATGAGAGAGAAAAATATATTTACACGTTCTTTTTCTCAAGTTTTGTTATCACCCTTGTTACACTACGTTCAGCGCATACCGCACTTACGATGTTCGCAAAGCTCCGAGGCTGTAGCAGATCGTTTTGTTGGGATTACGCCCACTTAGTGAACATTACAGATTATTCTGGAACCTATGGCACCGCTAGTGATAACGCAAGAACAATTCATGGCAAGTGTATAAATGCCGAAACGCTTTGCCGCTTGTTAGTTGATCGACGGCCGACGCTCTGCTTACCGCTATCAGTGCCAGTGCCTTGCTGTAATCTGACTTTTCTTTTACGTGGTCACAAGTTAGGCCCGAATAAACAGTTTATTATCTGACCATCCAGTCTCCTGCCTTCAGCCAAGTCACAATCCCATGACATCTGGTGGAGGTGCAGCTTCGTTCATGTGCCTGACGCCCCCGTAAATCCGTGAACTCAGCCCACGTCTCAGAGAAGACACCGACGCCAACCAGGAGCAGCGAACAAGCCGCTAGCAGCAAGGTCTACCACCGGAGTACGGGCCTCTGAGAGACAAGGCATGGAAGACAAAGGCTATGACCTCGGCTGCGGCGACAATGACAACCGCTGCGTCACAGCCCGCGATCGTCATGCAATCGCAGGCTGTGACGGAACCACCAACTTTTCACCAAGGAACCACTACCTTTCCGCAAGTCATCGTTCGAAGACCTGGAGACTTGGCTAAAGACATATGACCGCGTCGCCACCCTCAACCACTTGGACACTGAAGAAAAGCTCCACCGCACGTACTTCTACCCGGAAGACACCGCGAGACCTCGCTAGAAAATCGGGAGTCTGAGCTCCAAACGTGTTATGTCTTCTGCGGCGCATTCCTGCAAAGGTTCGCGAGCGTCGCTCGCAAAGAGAGGGCCGCTGATTTGCTACACACCCGTGTTCAGCTACCAAATGAAAATGCTGCCATTTTCACATAAGAAATGACCCGCCTATTCCGTCCCACTGACCCGGACATGCCTGAGGAGAAGAAAGTTCGTTTCCTCAAGCGAGGGGTCAAACAGGAGCTCTTCGCGGGTATGATGAGAAACCCACTGAAGACCATTTAGGAATTCCTCACACAAGCGACAACTATTGAAAAATCACTCGAAATGCGCACATGACAGTTCAACCACCACTAGGCTTCAGGGTATGCAGAATTACAACTACTATGCACTGATGGCCTGCCAGAGACCATAAGGGCTGTTGTGCGCGAAGAACTTCGCCGAATGTTCCCGTCATGCCAGCCTCAAGTTTCATCGATCGCAGACATCGTCAGAGAGGAAATTCAGCGATCAATGGATATCCCTGAGACATCTCAACTGCAATCTCAAGCCATGACCTACGCTGTTGCTGCCCGATGCTATACTCCACGTACAAGTCGAGAGGCCGCGCCGCCACATTTTCACCACCAGACACGGCCACCGCCCCCGCCGAAGCCATACCGTGCACCCGCCAGCAAGCGCGATTCTCCGAGAAAACCTTACGTGTGGCGCGCCGCCGATCACCGGCCTTTCTGCTACCACTGCGGGGAAGCTGGCCACACCTACCGCGACTGCCAGTCGCCATCGACGCGCCGCGTCCTCAGTCGGTTGAAAGTCCACGTGGCATTGCTGACTATCTCCCCGAAACGCAGAGGACACCCCGAGAATCTTCTCGTTCACATTGACCCGGCCGCTACATGTCTCCGGACTGTTGTCAGTACACTGGCCGAAGTCGGGGCCGGTCGCCTAGCCCATATCAGGAAAACTAGGGGCAGCAACCGATGGAGGTTCGGTTGCTGCACGATGAACTGCCAAAGATCCTCCGCCGACGACAATACCAACACGACAAAACCTCAAGAACACGCCGTCACCTCAACGTAGCCCCGACGTCGAAACCTCACGACCAGAAGAAGTCCTGATTACGCAGCGTCGAAACAGTGGTGCAAATCGTCGTAGCCGTCATCCGATTCCACGACTCAACCGCAACGTCGGTCGACTAACTAGCGACCTCGACAATCTCATCGACGGCCACAGCGTCACAGCTCTTGTCGACACCGGAGCCGATTATTCCGTCATCAGTGGGACTTTCGCCACAAAGTTGAAGAAAGCTAGGACCGCTTGAGAAGGCCCTGAAATCCGTACACCTGGAGGTCACCTAGTGACACCAGCGGGAATCTGCGCAGCTATATTGACCATTCACAGTCGCATCTATCCCGCAAGCTTTGTCATACAGCGGCATTGCTTGAGAGATGTCATTCTTGGTATGGACTTCTTGAGCCTCCACGATGCGGTCATCGACCTGAGAACCAAGTCGATACACTACCTACAGAAAAATCACTGCCGCCGCACACGTCATCAGGAAGGCACACCTTGATTGTACTGGAAGACCAAGTCACCAATCCTCCTCGCTCCAACGTCAGCATTTCTGTCGGCACTCAAGAATCAACAGGCATGCAAGGCATCGTTGAAGGCGACTAAAACCTGTTGATCAACCGCGAAACTTGCGTTGCTAGAGGAATAGCCGAGCTGCAAGAAGGGAACGCAAGAGTGATGCTCACGAACTTAAGCAACGAGTACAAGCACGTGAGCAAAGGCACGATGGTTGCCTACATCGAAAACGCTTTCGCCCTCAATGATTTCACCAAATCTACTCTGACGACTGATACACTTCAACCAGTTTTCGACGTTGATACGAGCCTTCCGACGCATAAACAAGAGTAGCTCGAGAACCTGCTCCTGAAATACAAGAGCTGCTTTTCGTTGTCATCGAGAATTCGACAGACACCTGTCTCGGTACAACGAATCGTAATAGAAGAAAATGCCAGGCCACTTTGTCAAACTACGTACAGAATTTTGACACGAGAACGTGAGGCGATAAAGAAACAAGTCGACGAAAGGCTCCGTGACGACATAATCCAGCCTTCAAAGAGTTCATGGGTGTCACCAGTGGTGCTAGTGAATAAAAAGGATGAAACACTACGCTTCTGTGTTGACTATCGCCGACTCATTAAGATGACAAAGAAGGACGTATACTCTGTCCCCCGAATAGATGACGCTCTTAATTGACTGCAAAACGCCAAATACTCTTTATCGCCGGACCTCAAGACCGGCTGTTGGCTGGTATAAAAAGATGAGAGAGACCGTGAAAAGGCTGGGTTTATAACACCAGACGGCCTTTTCGAGTTCAAGCTTACGCCCTTCGGTCATTGCTCAGCATCTGCGACTTTTCAACACGTTATGTACACAGTGTTGGCAGGATTGAAGTGCCAGACTTGCCTTGTGTGCTTACACGGCGCCGTCATGTTTTCCTCGAGTTTTGACGAGCATCTTCGGCGCCTTGAAACTGTACTTCGAGCCATCAAGGCGTCTGGACACACCCTGAAACCAGAAAAGTGAAGATGTGCGTACGAGGAGCTATTGTTCTTGGGACACGTGATTAGCAAGTCTGGAGTCCGTCCCAATCCAAGGAAAAGAGCCGCCATCGCCGCATTTCCGCCGCCCACCGACAAGAAGGCCGTGCGTCGACTTCTCGGCCTGTGCGCCTATTACAGGTGCTTCGTCAAAAACTTTGCTCTCATCGCCGAGCCACAGGCTAACATTACGAGAACTGACGTAAAGTTCAAGTGGAAAACGCCACAGGAGGAAGTAATTAGGGAACTAAAACTACGCTTACAGATGCCTCCGTTACTCGTGCATTTCGATGAAAATGCTGAAACAGAAATGCACACTGACGCAAGTAGCGTAGGACTCGGCGCCGTCCTTGTGCAGAAAACTTACGGACTGGAAATGGTTATTAGTTACGCTAGTTGGTCACTATCCAAGGCAGAAAGCAATAATTATTCCACGACAGTAAAGGGGTGCCTTGCCATCATCGGGACCACGCCAAAGTTACGTCCTTACCTAAATCGTGATCGACAACCACGCCTTGTGTTGGCTAGCTAACTTGAAGGACCCTTCAGGTCACCTCGCCCGATGGAGACTGAGACTTCAAGAATACGACATTGCCATCATGTACAAGTCCAACAGAAAACAATCCGACGCCTACTGCCTGTCGCGGGCCCCCGTCGACCTACAACCGCCCGAAGACCTAAATGACGACTCCTTCTTGGGAACGATAACTG